AGGTGAATTTCTGGTCATTTCTTGATGCTAAAATCCAAAGTTATCATTAAGACTAGCATTTCACCCCTACATACTTAAACCTAAGAAGGTACCTTAGTCACCTAAGTACCTAAGAAGTAAGACCATGTGTGGTCTGCAGGGAACCTGTCCCAAATTTGTATTTATTAGTAAGTTAATCAGGCAGTAGCTCATCTCAAGAGACCTTCACCAGGAGCAGTGGGAATGGGAGCTGCAAGCATTATCCTGGGAAAACCAACAGCACTGCATGTCTTAATCACAAACATAAACTGAGCTGTAAATATCACTCTGGAGATTAGAAGTTTTTAGAATAAATCCTCCCAGTAAGTATAAAGCTTGTTAACACAGGCTCCATATGGCTGGGGAACTAATGCCAAGGGGAGAAGCCATGCCTTTGGCTCCTCCCATCAGCCAGAGCAAGGTGAAACACAACCACAGTCAGGAAGTACAAGTGGTGAAAAGCTGCCCTAAAAGCAACTTGCTTGTCGATAAAGGCTCAGAATGAGACCTGTGCAACCCATGTGCTGTGTGAGACTGGTAAATCCAGCTGTGTGACAGTACAACAGCATTTTATCCCATGTTTTTTGAAGCACCACCATGACTGACACAAATGCTCCAGCTGGAAGAAAGCCAACAATTAATCAGGATTCCTTAGAATTTGGAGGTAATTTTAGCAGAACAAGAAACACAGAAGTATCAGTGAGTCCTGAACATTCCTCCAGGACAAAAATCTATTACTTCATATAAGTCCATTAAAACACTTCATCTAGCCCCTTTAATCCCTCTTAACAGATTTGCTTTATCACAGAGAGAGGAGCTAATCCTCTCCCACCTGTCTTTATGATATGGAACCATAAACAAGAGCAAGTACTTTCCATTTGTTAAGCATTATCCCCCCTTGGATAACACTATCATCCACACTAGCATTAGTGTAATGAAGCCTTCTTTAGACAAACACCTCAGCTCTGATCCCAAACTCTCACCCTAGCCAGGGATTCCTCCAGCAGGGAATGTGGAAACTTCATTTTCCAGTTGGTTTTATTGGTAAATTATTGTTTCTAAAACTCATCTCTTACCACGACTTTCAGGACACTAAGCAAAACAAGACTTGAATTCCAGCTTGCTGGAGGGACTTCCCTTTTTGCTTCACCCCAGACCTTACGTGACACATCTGAGGCCTCTGTTGTATATAACCAGATGGCAGCTTGGTCAAATCCATCACTGACCCAACAACTAGGTTAGTAGGTCAGCTGAACTTATTGCCTAATTACACCATCATTTTACACAGAGTTCTCTTGATTTTTCCAAATGAGACCTCAGAGCTATCAAAAAAAGGCTTAAGAAGCAATTTTGATGACCTACATTACAGATTCTAACCGTCTGGCACTCTACAGCCATGTAGGAAGCAACCCTGAACAGCCCCCTGACAAATTTTGGGTTGAAGGACTGAAATCTGCACTTCAGTCTCCTAATTGCTGGAAATCTCATCAGCCTTCAGCAAACCCCCTTGGAACAGAACACAGCATCCCTGGATGGCCATTCCAGTTGCTATATTGGAGAACAGATGACAATGACTGACCACTTGGGGCATATTGAAAGTAACTTTTGTCTCTTCAAGCTGTGGAGGCTTATTTCATCCATCTGTCAGCTCACTTAATTCTTTTTTCTGCTGGAAAGACATTCATGTGCTCTCATGCAATCCTGCGTGGTTCTACACCACAAAATCCATCTGCCTGAATGAATTCCCAGTCATTTTCATAACATAAGGCAACGACCCCACGTTCCAGAGGACCTGAAAGTGAACTCAAATGGATGCTTATATTAAGTACAAATGATATAGCATCTAATCCAAGGGGAAAAAAAAGAGGCATTATTCTAATCTTTTTTAACAGTGCTTCTCTAGGTAACACTTGGCAATTAGAAAAACATATAAGACATACAAGGAACCGTTATCTTCTCGTTGCTGCATAGGTCAAAGTCAAATTTTCCTCCAAAGGAACTGCAACCTGAAGTTATGCCCAAAGTGTAGCTAGTAAAGGGAGCGTAAGTTAGTGTGACTAGCTAAAGCAAAAGAAATCTGAATCACTGCTGTGACATAGCTTATGATGGAAGACCATTAAAAGACAGAGAACATGTGGGTTCTTTGGGCTTTCTTTTCTTCTGCTAGGAACCAAAGCAAATGCCCAGACAAGTGACATGGCTGAAAAAGAGAGACAGAGGTATGCAGTGTAACATTTTTCTTGAATAGGCACAACTGACAGCCATCGAGCAAACTTACTCAACACAGAGCTGGATCATATCCAGTTATGGAGAGGCAGTTGGCTCAGTGTTTTTGAGTGTCAGTTCACAGTTACAAATGGACATGTCTGACCAACGGCAACTGTTGGACAAGGACTTCATTGTCTCCCAAGGGCTGTTTGCAGCTGTCGCTGTTAGAGACGTATCGGTGATAGCAAAGGAGTGCAAAGAAAGTGGCCTGATCCTTGGAAAGAATCTTCTCTTGGCTTTGCTTCATCTCAGGAAGAGTAAATCTTGGAAAGCAGAATTTAAATACATCCACTGCTGCCCCACAAGCCTCCTAGCCTGTCACTTTGTCATGCTGAGAGGCCAGGAGAGCAGCAGTACCAACTGCAAAGCAAGTGGTTTCCTAGATGCAGCCACACGATGATTTCACTTCATACCTCACAGAGGTCGTCTGCGACATTTAAAATGCAACTTTTCAGTCAGCTCTACACATGACATTGAATCAGCTTTGGAGGAATTAATCACAAAAGCTGAGCTTATTCAAATCATCAGTGTGCTGAGAGCCAGAACAGCTTGAATATGGCCATTCAAAGCAGCAGGACTTCAAAAAAGCAAGATATGACACACTTGTCAAGTTATTACTGTTCTAAAGTGGAGTTTCTCTAGAACCACTTGCACTGAATATCATATGGAATTACATCCATTTAATAAACTGTTAACTTTAGGAGAACTAGGATGTAACCTTGACCCAAATGAGCAGAAGAAGGAGGTCACCCCATTCACTCCTAATGAAAAGCTTTTTCTGTTCGATGTTTGTTAAATGGCCACAAGTAGCTGTGACACTTAGGTCACCCTTAAAAGCCTTTAATTTAAAGACAGAAGATAGATTCAGTTGGCATTAGGAAAATGTATGGGAAAAGAACCAAACAATCCATGGACATAAGCCCAAACACACACACATTCCCAGATTTCAAAGCTAGCAAACTACAGCAACACAACTGCTATTTTCTATCCTGCCTCTTGCTTTTTCATTTAGAGTTGAGCTTGGGAGATGAATTTCTTTGGTTGCTGCACTATTTAACCAGCCAAGAAGCTTTATATAGGAAAATTTAAAATGGGTTTACATGTTAATGTGGTATTCCTTAAGAAACAATCTAATAGAAAATTGGAAATTGTGGTTTCCTCCTCCACAAATGTATTTCCAAATGCTTTGGTAAATAAATAAGAGCCTCCACTTCTTGGCACTCCTAAGCACAACATATACATTCGATTATAATAAATATCCCATAGCAAAAACTTACTTGATATATAGTTGGCAAGCTTGAAATTAGGTAAACTAAACTAGAGCACAGACTAGTGGTTTTGAAGGATCAATAGAAGGTTATTTGCCACCTGACAGCCCTCAAGGAGAAACTCCAACAGCCCAGCAACAGGCACACGCAGCTCACAACCTGTTGCTGTAACAAAAGAACTCAAGAGCCATTTTCATTAATTAATATATTTTCTGCATTATAGTTAACATATGTAACTTTCTTCGTGTCATCCTTATTTCGTTAAGTATTGATATTTTGTTATATTCAGACATGAGTACATTTTCAAAGTCTTTTGCAATAAATATCATAAAATAATAGAGATTCACATAATAAATATTCTTTACAATAAAAAAAGTTTTAACAGACTTTTGTCTTAAAAATAGTTGGGATTCAACTTTGTGTTTTATACATAAAATATACAAAAAAGGACCACAATTTGTGGCTAAGGCAATAAAACAGGGACAGAATAAAATTACAGAGTACAGAGCAGAGCTAAACTCACTAAACCAAAGGATCACAAGAGACTTGAAGGATTCAAGAACGTTTAGGTGACTCAATGACACCTGAAGGCTGTTTGGATATATGAACACCACCAAGTTTAATATCAACTGATACTGACAGGCTATAAAAACAGGAGTAGGAGGGTGGAGTGAGCAACATCCTTCAAAGACTGGACAGCAGAAGAAACAAATGAGTATGTTGCAGCCATAATGTCTCCAATGTGAAGATCTACATAGTGTAGCAAAAACTGAAGTTACATTGAAAATGTAAAAGAAAAAGGGTAATTCTCAGGTCTGAGAATGTTCCAAAAGTTAAGACAAAAAGAGAGGGAGGAGGGAAAGAAAAAGATGCAAAAAAGAAGCAGGCTGCTTATAGAAGAGTCAGGCCTTTCATTTGGTGAAGCCTTTATTTTACATCCCTCTCCAGAAAGAGCACACACAAAAAGTTATTTCACAATCCAGCTCACTCAGGAAAGTTATTCTTCCTTGGCACCCAGGAGGTTAAGGAAAAAAACCCCATAAATTGCTGAGAACAAAAAAAATCTTTGGGAAGATATTCACAGAGCAAGATGCTTCAAGAGCCCAGTGAGCCCTCACTGTCTCTCTCAGGAGTGGTTCAGTTACAAACTCAGAGACCCTGCCAAAGTGAGCAGCAGGTGCAGATACCAGGTCCACACTTACCAAAGAGCAGCAACAACTACATGAAATGCTCCACACTCAGCCAAGTCAGTAGGAAGAGGAGAGCAAAGATGCAAAGGGAAGAAACTTGTCTATCTGAAGCTGGGGAGACAGAAAGGAAAGAAAAAGAGCAGTCCTCTCAAAACGGGAGAGGAAGGGGAAGAAGGAAAGAAAGAAAAAAAACAACCAAAAATCAGCTACAACCTGAAAAACTGAAGCTGGAAGAAGTTAAACCTCCCTCCCAAAATCATGAGGGCTTGCCCTGACCTCGGGAGGGGCAACTCTCCAGTTTACAATAGACCGTGTTGGAGTTCTTGCATCGGCAACCCGGACGATTGACGCGGTCGTAACACCCTCGGCACAGTTTTAGGCATCCTTTTGCCGGAGGGTAGCAGAGCAAGCAAGGCAGAAACAAGGACATGGCTCCCATGCACAGGTACCTAGAACAGCAGTGTGACTGGGAACAGGAGCAGGGATTATCCGCGTAAGAGTCCCCTTCATCGTCGTTGGAACAGTGGTAGAAGATCCCTTTGACCAGGCACATACAGGTGCCGTACTCCACCATGCTCTCGGCCGAGCACAGGCACTGCCGGTTGCAGGCCAGGCAGGACGGGAGGGCCCGCGGCGCCGTGCACTCCCCACACTTGCACTTCCCACACTGTTCGCAGATAAACTTGTGCTGCGTCAAGTCCTCTTTCAAAGGACCCTTCAGATCATCCACGATCAGAGACGACTGTTTGGGCTGCGCCCGGATTGTCCGGTCGGACCTGTGGCCGGAGCCCGGCCGGGACGGGGGCGACCGCCCCAGCAGCCCTTGCTCCGAGGAGGCACTGCTGTTGCTGCCAGAGCTGGCCGCGCTCCCCGTGCTGGTGGAGCGGCTCAGGACGGGAGCTCTCGTGTTATGCTGATGTGCCACGTGCCCCACGTGGCTGGGCCTGTGTTCGTAATTATTATTCACATTAATTGGTATAATCTCGTGAGTCCTTTCGTGCTTCTCTTGCCTCGGTGCTGTCCGTGGACCTGATTTTTTGACCACGGATGGCCCTTCGGTGTATTCGTTGCTGCCCCTGATGGCCTTGATCTGGTCCAGTGACAAGATGGTCGTGGGTTGGCTCTCCCTGTCATAGTCCAACCG